CAGTCTTTGGTACCAGTTTTCAGTTATCCAGAGTGTAAGGGAAAAATCGTATTCCATAAATTAAAAGTATTTTCTGCTTTCTCTGGTACTATTTACTCAGAGTCAGAATATTTCCTTAATTTTTGTGTCATCATTTAAAAAATAAAACAGGACAAAGTCAAATGGAAAACCTATACTCAGCCTTGTTCTGGTATCAAGATGATAATGTGAGTTCTTACCCAGAAGGAAATTAATCTGTGTGAGAAAAAATACATGTACTGTCTTAGATTGAATAATCTGTTAGTAGCTAGGTAGTTCAAAAATATGAAGGGGATCTTTGTAGGTGATAGCTCTAAAGCATTTAGAATAGAAAGGAGGTGATATAATAGAGGACAACTGAAAGGGAAAACTACCTGGCTTAAAAAGTTTTCTGTTTTTATACATCCATAATTTGTTTTCTTTCCCAGAACCACAGAATGTTTCAGGTCATAAGAAACCTCTTGAGGTCATCTTGCCTAATTCCCGCTGTTCAGGCACAATCACCTAGAGCAGGTTGCAAGGGCCACATCCATCTACAATTCAAATCAAAAATAGTTCATTTCTGATTTTTGAAGTTTAGAAATAAAAGTCATAGAGAATGTTTGTCAAAGCCATCCCTTTGCTATTAATTATATGGCATAATTTTCTAGAAAATTATTTTCTAGAAAATTGACCATTACTGATATTTATTTCTCACAAATCATACTGAGAGAAATGTCATTTTAAATGACTTTAAATCTAATCTGAAACCTATGTAAAATAGCCTTTCACTGCCAACTATCTTCTATTTCTTTCAGATTGTTTTTCATATGTAGACTATCTTGTTTTAGTGGACTTTTTTTGGTGAAGAAGATAAAAAATAATTCACAGGAATTAAAATATTTATGGAAAGATAACAAGGCTTTTCACAAACCTGAAAAAATAGGATAGGAGACCTTTTGACTGCATTTACAATTAAGCAAAATTTTTCTAGTATTCATTCAATATTTTATGTGATTAGTTTTTCTGTTGACTTATAAAAAAAGTTTCTCAGCATAAAAATCCCAAGCCTTTTATATACACAACTGGTTTTATAAATGATTACATCATGATCACACGTTTTGTTCAATTTTTTTTCACACATTTGCAGTGTGGTTTTTGTTGTTTTTTTGCTAACAATTGACTATACTGAATTTTTAGACTCTAAGGATTTTAAAATGTACAGAGAAAATTATATTAAAAGCAGGGTAGAGAGAGTTATCTGAGTTTCTCATTCCTCATAATTTTCCCCCTGTGTTGTCTGATGTAGTCATTTGTCTTCTGACTCCATCCTGTTGCCCTACAGCATGTTTTCAGTGTATCAGACTTCCAAGATAAAAAGCTGTCAGTGCATCTGTTCTGATCTTTGAATCACCTCACTTTTATAATGTCACATACATTTTACATTTCATTTTGGAGAAATTTTCTCGTATTTTTATCTCACTATTCTTCCTGAAAAATAATAAAAACTATGTAAGAACTCTGAAAAAGTCTCTCTGAAATTCAAGGCTATTTAAGTCATTTTTAGCAAGATATTGGACTGATATAAAATATGGCAATTTATCTTGCTTGATTAGGATGCCTATGTGATTTAAGTACATATTAAATTACAAGATTATGGATTTTTGACTGAAGAAATTGCCCTGTTTCATTTATCATTTCAATATAGAATTTTTTTAAACTGCACATGATTTAAGTCATAAACCATTATGACTTATTGAATCTTTGTTAGTGAACCAGTAGCCACTAAGTTAACTAATTTGCGCCACCATTTGATTTTGAAGAATGAGCTGCTTCAGGTAAGTCAGAAACCAGGACTGCAAAAATTATCTTTCAAGTGGAATGTTATCATAAATAAAATCTTTTTTCACCACCACTGCCACCTTTGGTGATAACAGTTTATAGAGACTCAAAAAAACTTACTAAGGTTAAAAAAGCTAACCAAATTTTTGAATTTATAAAGGAGCATGCTATGCACCATCTATTTGTGATTAACATTTATTTCCATTCATTATGTGTCTGTGGTTCTAAGCATTTATTTTCAGAAATGAAATTTCTGAAATTTCATAATCTCATGAAATTCCATATGTACCAAATCCACATGTGCAGCAAAACTGAGAGAGGGTCCAAAACTCATATAATATTCATCACTATCATATTCAAATATCATATTCATCACTATTTCAGTTCATGTATACACATCAGCTACTTATTTGGAAAGTTAAGATCCCTTTCCAATAAATAATTGTCTTTATTTTTTTCATAAAGATTTTTTTTTAGAAGTAAGAATGTTTACCAGTAACATAAATGTCCCAAAGAGGTCATCTATTTTATCTTAGAAGTGAAAATTTTCAACAGTTTCTGACCTTTATTATGTAAAAATTACAATATTTTATTTAACTTCACATGTTTGGTATGTTTAGATAAAACTGAGATCACTGTAGGAACATATCAGTTATCATAGTTATCTATTAAAACAGTTAGCAACTATTTGTTCAGTTTTACCTTGTTTTCCAGAATCTAACTCAGGCTATTTTAATCCACACATGTGTATATACATGCACATGCATTCAAACAATTTTGTAAGTATTCCTAATTATAATCATACAGCCTTTGCTTCACAGTTCTTCTTTAGGTTGAATAGTAGGTATTGAGTCTGAAAGAAAAATGCTTTTATGTTGATAAAACTTTGGTACAGCAGATTTTCTGGAAAATCAATCTAAATTTTCCTCATGATCTACAGAGGCCTTAAATTTCATGGCTGCTTTAGTGCTGGGTCAATCAAATGTGAAATATCAATACATTTGCACAGCATGAGTGACTGTATCCTGTTATTTTGATGAATAGTAGAAGTAGAAATGAGGAATATGAAAGAGAAAAACACTCACTAAGTAGAGATTACATACAGTGTTACAATGTTATTAAATGTCATCAGGCAAGATGATATCTTACTGTGTGTCCAATTTTAATGAAAAAAATCAAGATGAAACCAAATGAATCCTGTTTAATTAATTTAAAAGCATAGATGTCTCAGTTCCCAGAAACTAGAGATCATTCATTCTCTTTCAGTTACTGATAGGAAAATATGTCAAAGTACTGCATATAGTAGTACAATTTTGTTATACTAATTTAACTCTTCTGTGTAACCCGTCTCAGTCACTGAGGTCTAGAGATTCCAGGGATGGGGATCCATACTTATGGATAACATATGAAACAGCAGAAATGAGAGAAATTTGAATAAACATTAAATTGAAATAATTAAAAACTTCTCCTACTGTACCTCTCAGTTGTTTCTTAGAGTTTTTTCCTTCTGAATATTTCCTCATTCAGGAATAAATGAGATTTCAGAGAACATGTCTTTTTAGGTATTGCATGACAGTACAATGTTTAGCACTCTTCTTGTACTTGAATATTATGGTGCATATCTGTCTTCTTTTCGACTTTTATAAGCTTGTTTAGTTACCAAACCAGCAGATACTTCAACACACGTTCTTCGTTGAACCTGAGACTACGTGGCAGTTTTAGTGTTTGCTATTGGCAAAATAATTAAACGTTGAGGTTTCATTGTAGTGTTAGAGGAATGGACCTTCTCCCTGTCTCTATTTATAGTCCATGAAATATCCAATAAACTGTGAGAGGGAGTAGTAGTGTTGATTTCACACAATGGGATTTGAAAAAGTCATTAATTTCCAGTGTGTTACAATAAAATCCACCAGAAAAAAAAAAGGAGAGAAAAAAGAAAAACTACAGACCCACCATTTACTTTAATGTGTATTCCATGGAAAACTATCAATGAAAATCCTCTTTCCAAAAGTAATGAAATAAAATGGTGTACATTACTTTTTTAAAAGGCGTGACATAGAAAATCTGAATGGATAAAACATGCAGTACAAACCTTTCTTTACCATTGGTAAACTTACTAACTTGTTGACTATTTATATAATTGTCTTTATTTTACCTAAACTTTTTTCCTTACATGATCATTACTGACATGTAAGACAGAGATTGCCCCATACTTTCTTAATTAATGTAGAAATCAGTTTCACAAAGATACTTAAAAATAAATGCATCCCATTAGCAGCATTCTATGAAATATGGGTTGATCTATTTTCCATAGCAGTGCACACAGGAAATTGTATTTTATTACGAATGGTATGGTTATAAATCAAAGGTATCATGATGGGTCTGCTCACTGTTCAGTGGTTCTCCAGAAGTTAACATAGTGGCGACTCATGCTCTGCCGCTCTTTAAGGATTTGATATTAAATTACTCAAACTTAATAGGTGGATATACGTAGAGAATTGCATCCTAAAATGAGCTGAAATAAGTTCCAGTTCAAACATCTGTGTCAGAATATCTACAAGTAGTGGTAAGTGTCTGCAGCATTCTGCTTAATTCTTAGCTGTAGATGAAGTCTGTTCAAGATAGTGGCTGAAAACAGTCAGTAAATTTGCTGTTTATAAACAAGAAGGTTCAAAACTTCTCACAGGTATTTTCAGACAGTTAAAAAAAAAAAGACAGATTGTCATTAGTTGGAAATAAAATTTGTAAGATCATATTGTTTAATGCCTAACTGTGAAACTGTATGTGGAGACAGTATCTATATTGCTGTGTAATAGGAGTTGCTTGATTTGATATTCCTGACTAGTGGTTCCTTACACTTCACTTACATTAAATTTTGCTGATGTGATCTGTCAGCAAATATGTAGAATAGACCTTTAACATCCATGGAGTATGTGGTTTAGGTTTTTTTCTTGTTACCAGCACAGCAAGGGTTGGTTCTCATGTTTTTGGGTTGTCCTAACAGGTGTTCTTTGTACAAACTGCCAATGCACCCTATTATGTCAGGAGTTCAAGGTATGCAGCTACGTAAAATTTTACAGACATCAGCTTACTCATATGAAATATTTGCAAGACAAGAAAATGTCTGAGGAATTTGTCAACACTATTGATTTTTCTGTCAGATAGTCTACATGGGCTGGACAGAAGAACGGGAACAGGACTCTCTTCAGGATCGAATGTACACACCAAAGTTTCTAGCACTGAGAGGATCTTCCCTCTATAAATTTATAGCACCTCCAGTAAGTATTTTTCTCATACTTAGTGGGAATAAATGTTATTAAGGAAAATAATTTCGTGTGATATGTACAAGGCTTTTGCAATGAGATATCACTCACTAACAGGATTGCAAATAGCAGCACTGAAAAGTTCCAGGATATGTGGTATAGAAATGACAGAAAGCATCTGTTCATCAGATGATTGAGCATTTTACAAGAATTTCTTTCCTGACACTAAACTGAGCACTTAGAAAAATAAAAGAAAAATCTACTTATGTTAAAAGGCAGCTTTTGATTTTCCTTTTACAGACAGAAAAGACCTGAAGTAAGATGGTTAAATTTGAACTGAACAATTATTCTAGTGAAACTGCTGGGATTTGGGGAAATAGCAAAGCTTTTTGCATGCTGTGGAAATTGTAATATGTCTGTATTTAGATTTCATCTCGAATGTAAGTTTTTGCTGCTAGAGAGCTCCAAAGGAAGGTAGGGAAGCAAATTAAATTGTTTAAGTTAAATATATTAATTGGAATCTGACTGGGAACACTGGGCAAAATTTTAGCTCTCGTCTTATACTCAGTTTGATGGTACATCTAGGCTGCAGTAAAGATCCCCTAGCTAACTTTTAAGCTATTTGCTAAGGATCCAGTAGCAATCCTATTCCCTCAGCAGGGACAGTCATGTTCATTCATTTTTCCTGTTTATTGAGTGACCTTGCTGACTGCTGCTAAACCCTGTGTTGCCAGATCCAGGCTGTAGCTCCTTGCTGCCTGAATCACAGAATTACAGAATAGTTCAGGTTGGAAGGGAGCTTTAAAGGTCATCTACTGCAAGCCCCCTACAGTAAGCAGGGACACCTTCAACTGGAACAGGTTGCTCAGAGCCTAGTCCTGCCTGATGTTTCCAGGGATGGAGCATATACCACCTCTCTGGGCAATTTGTTCCTCATGTGGTTCAAAACCACCTTGCAAATCTTTACATTGTTCATCAATATCTATTCCCGTTTGTTTAGCAAAAGGCTTAAAAACGTATGAAAGACATGAGGAGTGGAAGTAAGTATGAACTGAAAACTCTGTGTTCAGTGTTTGTACACTAGTTCACTGGTATGGGTTTGACTCTCCCATGGTTGGTAATGGGAGTTTGGCTTTTGTTGGTGGATATTTTTCAGGATCAGATTAAAATATCAGATTAAGCTACTAAGCACCTTAATTCAAAAACCGTTCTGTGTTTGCTAGACCTACTTGAGCAATTGCTGCCTGTCAAATAAAGCCACCTACATTCTAGGCACTAGATAGAAGCAGAATTCTATCTATTCTATTCCTGTTCAATATAAAATAGGAAGGTTATTCTTTTGTAAGTACTATCAAAGGGGCTACAAGCCTCTTTACTGAAGAATCATAAGTTTTCAGGAGTAATATGTTTCTAGGAGGTAAATGGTTAATAGGGGGTGATTAATGGTTGTGGAAGGAACATGTTCATAGGAAGACTCTGAACCATGGTGATGTTAATAAGGGAAATTTTGGCAAGCTGCTGTTGTATGAGACAAGCAACTCATCCTTGAGTTTTTATAGGTCTTGTTTCAGCTGAGCTGCAAACACAAAATGATTTTGTTTTGCCAGATTCTGGCTCCTTTTCTAAAAGAGAAAAACAGTTCAAACATAGAGAAAGATATTTTCTCTCCATGGAGTAGGAGGGAAACAGAATGATAAACATGCTTTTTATAGGACAAACAGAGGAAGAGTTCCTGTAGAGTTGCCTTAAAGACATATTATCGTAGTATGGTTTGGGTTGGAAGGGACCTTAAAGATCATCTAGTTCCAACTCCAACATGTAATGTATTAATTGCATGCTTATATGCCCAGAAAAATTTTCTTCTTATCAAAGGCTGCAGAAAGCCTTCTAAAGGACTTCTAACACCCTATTTTCTGCATGCAAATGCATACGGTTATGTTTGCTATTCTGCAGGTATATATGTTTGTTTCTTCCAGGCATCACAAAAGATTACGGGGAAAGTTTCAGCAACACAGTTTCAGAGCTTCTATTTATGAGATGCATAAAGTGTAGTCAAAAGAAAAACAGTTTTAATTATATTTGCAGTGTAAACTCCTTGGATAAAGTTTTTTTCTGAACAGAGATGTCTTGCCAAATTTTTAACCAGAAAATCAAATGAAAGTATTTCCCCAGTCTTTGCCAAATCTAACACATTAGGGAAGTATGTGTTAAACAATGTCTATCAGCAGCCTCCTCCTCCCTCTTTTTTTAGCTGTTTGATCAATAGTACTTCTGCTTTGCATGCTCAGATAAAGGAGCACTCCTAATGTTACTTGTTTACACTTTAAAAGCTTTACAAAAAATTACTCTTTTTTTTTCTTTCTGTTATATTCTGGTACATTTCCTCCTTTAGAATTATTAATTGTGTCAATTAAAATAACAAATAACAAGTCTGTGTCAGTTTATAATTGGAAATCTCAGAGAGGATGGATGTGAGAAAGAGCCGCTAACACCTTTTCTTTTGATATTCAATCTTTTAAATTAAAATATTAAAAGTGAATAGGTGAAGCAATTTCTGTGACTGTCTTAATTTGACAATTGCTCTTGCTTTGCACATAGCATTATGTAGAAAGAGTTTTGGTTTGACCTGAAAATACGTCCCTTTATAGGTACAAACAAAAGCGAGGAGAACAGGGAGGTCTTATATTTTCCACCAAAGTTTTTAAACATAGTTGCAAATGAGTCTGTGCTTCAGCAGCCATAGTAACTACTTTTCCTTGATGGAGGAATATGACTTCAGCTGGTGTGGCTGGAGTTTTGGTCTCAGCGGGGCTGTAGCAAGATTCCTCTCCCCATTTCTTTGTTCTTGGTGAGAAATTCATCCTTTTGTCCATAGCATAAAGAGTAGCTTTATGGTTTAGTCGTCATACTTCAATAATATGGTGAAAACTGCATTTGAGGATGACTGCAAATAAATAAAATTCTAATAGAGGAACTATAACACTGTATTTTTTAACTTTTCACTCCTGCCTATGATTTCCTGAAAGGTGTTTGTATTACAGTAATGTTTATAACTAAAACTTAAGTTAGGAATAGAATTTTCTCATACAACTGCAAAAAAATTTTGATCAAGAAAATTTTATCCCCTAGCATCCGAACCCACAGATGCTTCTCAGATGTGTTGTATCTATTATTGATTATTTTCTCTTTAGATAAGAGAGAAATTGTTCTCATACAATATTTTTCTTCCTGGCCTGTGAACAGTATCTTATCATAAATTCTTCAAAGAATTTTATCTTGAATCTTGTAGAACTAATAATTTGTGGTTTCATCAACCTCTTCATCATGCCTAATAAATTTAATGATAAAACCATCTTCCTTTGGAGCTGTGCCAATATCTTACTATTAAGATTATTTTTCTTTCATATATAACCTCAGTTTCATTCTTTTTTGTACCTTCTTCTGTGAAGAAGACTGTGAATATTCTCCTGTTTCCATTTTGCAGTTTCTTTGAAAAGTTATTTATAGATTGTTGTGATATTGCCTTGACTCTTACCTTACTGAATATATTCATCTATCTTTTTCTGTCCTATTTAAGTCTTACCACTTACCCTTTTATTTAATTTTATTTAATTCTTTTATCTATGCATTTTTGTGTAAAATAATTGCTTAAAATTAATACAGTTAAACACAATTGTCAAATCCCAAGACAAAGAGGAATAATAGACTATTCTTCAAATGTTCGTTGTTAGAATTTAGGAGTAGATCTTGATAAGAAAAAAAAAAGAAAATGTATATTTGCCTCTTGTTTCATGGTTTTCTTTCTTCCCTCTGGATTTCAAGGCATGTGAGGTAAGTGTCTGGGACATTGCAAGGTTGGAGACTCATTTTATGGATTTGCAAATACTGTAGGCGACTGGGAGCAAATAGTGGCATGCAGTTACAAGGAGGAAAGCAAAGAGAAACATACCTTCTTGTAGTCAGGGCACTGGCTCTCTGAGATGAATTCAAGGGCTGTATCCTCTCAGGATCTCAGTGCGACCCCTACCAGTTCCCTGGGGAAGCATCATCATTCAGCACAGAGCAGCCAGCATGCAAGGACACTGCACTGTAAATACAGGGAGAACTTCTTCCAAGCAATGCCTGGATGGAATAGTCTGGCCCCTGCTAGTTATTGCTCTGAGGCAGTGGATGGTCTTTCTGTATACATTATACTGGATGTAAAGAGCTTATACTGGATGTAAAGAGCTTTATTTTTGTTAATAAACTTACTTCCTGAAATAAATGAAAATAGCTTAATTTCTTTTTCTGTTTATTTTTTTGTTTTGTTTTGTCTTTTGTTTTTGTTTTTGTTTTTTTCCCCAAAGGTCACAACCTGGGATTGGACACGAGCTGAGAAAACATTTTCAGTTTATGAGATAATGTGCAAAATTCTCAAGGTATGATGAGAAAGTATAAAATAAATTACCACTTTGACAGACCAGTTGTCAAACCAGAGAGTAACGCTGACCACCTTGCAGAAAGAAATCTCATTTTTTCCCTTTGAATTCAAATATCAGAAGTCCTGGTGTCAGTAGATACAGAACCAAAGTAGAAGGCATGGTAAAATTGAAAATAAATTGATTTTGACTAGGAAACTACTTTGTATCTGCATAATGCTGTATGGGGCTTACAACTTTACTTTAATGTCACATTTAACAAGCATGACATTTCATTTTCTGACTGAGGACCTAAAGATACAGTGATCAATTTGATTGTTTTCAAATATGTTGATGAAACTAGTAGTGGCTGCAATGTAAGATTTCACTAGGCCTGAGAGCAGTCTTTAAAATATACAATACCATTCTGAAAACTTTTTTCTTATTTTTTCTAATTTCTTCAGTTTACCCTAACTGTAACAAATGGGAAGAGATGATAATGAAAATTTTTTAGAAAGTTAAATTTATGAGTACAAAATTGAATAAGACCATTATTGTACATTGATTTTAATTTTTAGTTCTCAACTCAATCAGAATTAATTTATCTTGTCTTCTCTCTATTTTAAAAACAGTGAAAAACAAGTGCCCAAAATTTTCTATGAGAAATAAAGGGATGAAAAAAATTGTCTCTTTCCATTAAACTGAAGTGCCTTCTGGTGTATGTTGGTTTTGGGTTTTTTTAGGTCAAAATTGTGTAAAATGTAATTTGGACTTTTCTGGACTTTTATCTAGTTCGATGCAGACTAGTATCAAAAGGAAGTATGAAAAAATAATATTTTTTTTAAAAGTGTTTCCCACTGGGAAGACCTTTTACTGACATAAATAGTACATTTCCTAGGTATTGTAGTTCTCATAGGTGCACTATATTTTCCTTAGGGAGGCAAATTACAGATGTAATGGCTTAATAAAATTCAGAAACTTCTTACATCTGAGACTTCAAAAAAAAAGAAAAGAAACCAAGTTTATAGTCTGAAAAAAAACCTCCTTTGCTAGCAATCTGAACAGAAAAGTGAAAGATTTTCTGTTACTGCTGTGGTGGCTGTGAGGCCTGGAGACTTCATCAGGGAGTAAAACATCCCAAATGCAAAATGTCGCATCACTGTGGCATGTCCTTTAACTACCAAGTCTGTGCAAATATTGACTCCTTAGAAGTGGTCATGTAGGGAGAGAAGTTATAGGAAAAGTTTTTCACTCTTTGAAGACATTGCACTAAGGGTGTATACAAACAATGCTCTTAGAGCACAGTCAGGCTTTAAGAGAGTTGAAAAATCTCAAACACTTTTCCCCCACCCGTGCCACCCCTCCGCCACCCCCAGTAGTCTGTAATTGCTTCAGGCCTTGGGCTTATTGCGATAAGCATCAAGGCAGCTCTTCTTTGTCAGAGAAGTGTGTTGGAGCCAGGAAGATGACTCCTTATGACTTCTCCAAGGATTTTATTATAGTCCCTGTATAGAAATTTACAGAATGTATGCCATATAGTTTTCTGTAACTTAAAGATCCTTCTTTTCCTTTCTTCTAGCCTTTTGCCTTTGTTGATGCTCTTCTCATTCGCTCTCAGTTTTAGCCATTTTTCTTTTTTCCCCCTTCTCCTGTGTCCCCTGTTCTTGCATATCAATACATGGATTTTTTTTCAATACATGGATTTTTTTTCTCTTCTCAGCAATTTAGCAGCAGTTATTACAGCCAAAGAGTCAGTCCACAAAGCAGCAAAACCTGAACCAATACCTTCCTGCCACTTTTGTGTGGAAGCACAGAAAAGAGTACAAAGATGACGTTTTTCTTATCATCAGCTCTCCAAATTGTCTGGGAAGAGGTGTAGATCTTCCAGTCTCAGACTGTATTAACAGATAGGCAGAGAGGAAATTCCAGTTTAAGTGATATAAGAATATCATTTATGTGTTCCTTTATCACTTTATTCATACTCAGATATTCCTTTATTTTCTGTAAATATGGTCAAGCTTTTAAAGTCTTGAAATGTTTCAAACAGGTTCTTTGGCTGACTAAAACCCGTAAATAATAAAAAATGGAAGTAGAAAAATCATTGCAATAAAATGGCAGCTTATGACACTGGAGTATTAATCTTCACTGTTTTCTAGTTTTCTACAGCAGGTACTGTAAGACTTAACTATGGTTTCACTAAATATAAAAGCAAATAAAACCAGGAAAAACAGCTTCCCATTACTGCTACTACATTGAACATCTGTAGAGACTCAAGGTTTTGTTCAACTTTTATGCCAGAACCATAAAAGTCTTCATTTTAGCAATAAGTGTTTCAGGACACATTTGTGCAAGCCCCAAGGGTATTACTGAAGCAGAGGCATCGTAAAAAAAGTTACTCTCGTGTTTTGTGATCACCTTCAAACTTCTTCCTCTCTATGCTACCTCACTTGCTACTTTTGTTATAAATCTGTTTGCCTTGGAGAATGAGTTGGATGGCAAAAGGACAAAGTAACGGGGTTTGAAGTAATTATATTCTCAGGGATTGATAGATAGCATGATAGCTCAGGAAACCTAATGAGAAAATGAAAAGAAGCCAGGTTTATTCCAGTACAGAATGTTCCCACTCCTGCACTTCCTGTTCTTCCATGGTAAAGACTGAATTCATGTAATTCTTTTCAGGTAAATTGAGACAATAGAATTATTCTTTGTTTCTACTTCAGAAGAGACAGTAGCTGTCATTGTGCAGAAGTAAACCCCAGAAGACAGTAATGCCATTTGCAGGAAAATATCATCCATCAGTGTCTCTGAAGAGGGTTTAGTTCCATATTCTTGGCTAAACTCAAATTTTTCTGTGTACATAATCACTAGGAGTAATAGTGAATCATAGAATTATAGAGTAGTTTGGGTTGGAAGAGACCTTTAAAGGCCATCTAGTCCAAGTCCCCCTGCAATGAGCAGGGATGGCTGCAACTAGATCAGATTGCTCAGAGCCCTGTCCAACCTGACCTTGAATGTTTCCAGGGATGGGGCATATACCACCTGTGTAGGCAACCTGTTCCGGTGTTTTACCACCCTTATTATAAAAAAATTCTTCCTTATATCCAATCTATATCTACCCTCTTTTATTTAAAAAACACTATCATAGATCATTCCCAGATGGTGAAACACAATCATCTATATTCTTTATTTATTTTAGAATGATCACTACCATGGATTTTGGGCCAAATGGACCATCTAGCACTCTCCAAAACATTCCTGTCATGGCTTGAGAGCTATCATGGGTGAAGGAGCATTTGTAATGAGCTGTTGCATGAATTTCACAGGAATAAAAAGTTTCCTGCTATGGATGTGATCTGGTCCTTACCAGCTAGCTATAGTGTCAACAAGCAGTCCCATACATGCTTAATTTGTTAGTATAAACATAGCTTTTTTGACTAATATTTACTTTAAGTAGAAAGACTTTCAGGTGGTCTGTGCTAACCTTTGTACAAGTTAGCACAGGAGTGAGAAGTAGTGCTTAGAGGACTAAAAAATTCCAAAACGTGTTTCCTTCTGTGTTGATCAGGCTATTGGGCATCCTGAGAATGCAGGACTGAGTGTGTTGGTTGGGAATGCTGCCACACCTCTGTAGAGCCAGAAAGAGCATGCATCTTGGCTCATGTCTTCTTTGTAAAAGTGAATTATTAAATGTTATCACAACATTTAGTAATCAAAATGTGGTAATCAAAATGTAAGCTTTACATGGGTTGCTTACAATGGACTGAGATATTTCAAGAAATTTGTCCATATTTAGACATATTCATTAGATGTGAGGATGCACTGTCACCCAAGCTAGCTGGTATTATCTCCTCCTATATACTGGCAATTTCAATAACTATTCCTCATGGCACAAGGACAGGACTTTAGTAAGTCTATCTGAAAGCATTTTTTCCCCTTTTTCCACTCCTTAACTTTGACTTAAGTTCTGATGAGCTTCACAAGAACAGTTTTGATTAGAGAGACTTATTACTGTTTGTCTTTTTAAATAGAATTGTAATTTTTCTCAGTTTAAGAGATTTTCTAAGTTTCTATTCATGACAGAAGCGCTATGGTGGAGAATATGAACAGGCAGATCCTACTGAATACACATTAATATTTCAATGTTTTAGTGTGCAAGAATAATTCCACTTCTGGTAGCAGTAAATAAATATTACATCCAGCAAAGGACTTTAGTGATTTAATTGTCAGGAAGGGTATGTAGTCCAAAGTTGTTAAATAAAACTCAGAAGGCATCTATCACTATGGCCAATGTTTTCTTCACTGTTGCTTGCATGTGTTAGCAAGCATCCATTCCAAAGGCTCTACTCTTCTCATGAACAATGTAGGACACTGGTATGCCACTTTCAATTTTTACAGTTCTCTCAGCCTCAAGCAGTTAAAAGGCAGGATGTTCTGCACCTTAATCAGAGATGTCAGAGATTATTGTGTGATTTATAATTAGTGGATCCGTATTTATAATAGCAATTTAATAAATCACTATTTCGTTGTTATTATATTTTTTTCTTTTTTCTCCATCAGATTTAAAGGAAAAGAAAGAGGAAGCAAGGAAATAAGTCACTATTCTTAATGTGATTAGGACCTTTTAAGTAATCACAAAGACCATTAAAATTTGAAACAGAAAAGTAGATTTTAAAAAGATGTCTTTTGACTGTATGAAAAACAGTTTTATTGAGACAAATTCAGCAAAGGATCATTGATCCCCTAATTAATTATTTACAGCTTTATATAGTAAAAAAGTATAAAAAACAAAATCTCAAACCCTGATAATCACTTTCATACACTACCATAACAATAGTGGATTATAAGAAAAGGTTCTGTATAAAGTTTTCAAAATACCATATAAAAATACATATCTCATAAATATAAACCTCTTCATTCTCAAGATTTTGGGGTTGAAATAATAATTTTTGACATGAAGCATAGGTAAAACAGGCTAAATACAAAAATCATATTTTAATTAAATTAGCTTAAATTATTCATTG